AAAAAAAAGAGAGAGAAAGATTCCTAAGGAAAGTAAATTAGACCTTCAAAACAAAACAAAAACAAAGGATTCCTTTCCACAGCATGTTTTTTGTTGTGAGATTTTGTTTGGTTTTTTTGTTCTGTTTTGTTGTTTTTTGGGGTGTGGGGAGGATATTAGAAGTATAAGATTGAACCCAAGGCTCTCCCTCATGCTAAGAAAGCATTTTACCCCAGCCCTTGTGATGTTGTCTTTTTAATCAATTTCTTAATTATATTTTATGTCACAGGTTATCTGGGATACACTAGGAAACAAGCAGTTTTGTTCCTTCAAAATAAGGTGAGCCTAGGTTTGTAATCTGGAATAAGATTCTTCTAATTGCCTTCCTGGTAATCACCATATAATCTTTGTTTCCTTTCCCTCATTTAAGAACCAAGACTCAAGGCTTTTGCAGAAATGAATATAGCCTGACTGGACTGTGTAATCGGTCATCCTGTCCCCTGGCAAATAGTCAGTATGCTACCATCAAAGAAGAGAAAGGTAACTCCCCGGTTTAACTTCCATGAGAACTATTCAACAGCTTTAACAAGGATGTTCTTCAGTCTGTCTAAATAATTTTAAATGTATTTTACTTTATCCTTTAGGACAGTGCTATTTGTATATGAAAGTTATAGAACGAGCAGCTTTTCCTAGGCGTCTCTGGGAACGGGTAAGACTTAATGACAAAACTTTAATGAACATAGATAAAGAGTAAAAATGGCATGCATTTCCCTTCTCCCTTGATCATCTCTAAACTTTTAGTTATTGACAGTGACCCCATAGTTATTGACAATGAACTTACTCATTTGCTCTACTCCTTTAGTTTTCATTTTGTTTGGTATGTTTCGTAGGTCCGGCTTAGTAAAAACTATGAGAAAGCACTGGAACAAATAGATGAAAATCTAATTTACTGGCCTCGTTTCATTCGACACAAATGTAAGCAGAGATTTACCAAGATAACTCAGTACCTAATACGCATTAGAAAGCTTACACTAAAGCGACAGTAAGTATTTGGATCATTTATTTTAAAATCTATCTTTCCTTGGACCATGTTATGAAGCTGAGGTCGTATATTCTGACAAATTCAACTTTGAAATGTCTTACTTTATGTGGAGAAGAAACTTTAAAGGTGTACCTTTGATTTTGCAGCGTGTCTAGAACAGTAGAATATAAATCCTCTCTCTTCATCAGAAAATCTCACTCATAAAATTTTCTTTATAATTGCCTGAGGGAATCTTGACTAGTAATTTGGAAATAATGTAAAAAGAATGTAATCATCAACTATTAAGAAGTTTACTCTGGAGTCATTGAATACTACTTTTAAAAGTATGAGAAATGGACATGTGGTTCAAGTGTAAAGTGCCATTTAGAGCAAAATGAAGAAGCAAACAAGAATGATGGAAGGGTGTCACTGATCAAGATTCATTGTAAAATAGCTTTAAGAGTGTTAGGTCTTAATGCTTTTTTTTTTGGTCCTAATTAGATCCAGGACCAGCAAATTGTTGCTAGGCAAGAAATTTAATCTACAAAGCTACTATGTAATTAACTTGGCAACTCAATTTTATATCTAAAACTGTAATACAAAGTAGAAGTGAAAAGTTCCTAGCAAAGTTTTAAGTTACAATGTGAGGTGTATACATACATAGAATATAATGTGTTATATCTATAAGTTTATGAGTTTTGCTTTTTCAAAAGGGATAATGATCTCTGCCAAATCAATCAAGAAGAATAAAACTAGAAATCGGGCATACCTTTACATTTTCAATATTGTATTCTTTTTCTAGTTTAATAATTTTCTATGAAATAGCCAGGCACCAGTGGCTCATACCTCTAATCCCATGCTGCTTAGAAAGGCTGAACTGAGGATCACAGTTCAAAACCAGCCCAAGCAGGAACATCCCTGAGACTTTTTTTCTTGTCCGTCATGGGGCTTGAAGAAGCAACTCAAGTGCATGGGCACTGTCCTTGAGCTTTTTCATTCAAGGCTAGCACTCGGCTGGGAAGGTGGCTCAGTGGTAAAGCACTTGTCTTGCATGCCTGAAGCCCTGGGTTTGATTCGTCAGCACCACATAAGCAAAAAGAAAAAAGCCAGAAGTGGTGCTGTGGCTCAAGTGGTAGAGCGCTAGCCTTGAGCTGAAGAGCTGAGGGACAGTACCCAGGCCCAGAGTTCAGGCCCCACGACTAGACCCCCCCCCTCCAAAAAAAAGGGCTAGCACTCTACCATTTTGAGCCATCGTTCTACTTCTGTTTTTTTGGTGGTTAATTGGCAATAAGAATCTCATAGACTTGCTTTGAATTGTGATCCTCAGATCTCAGCCTCCTAAGTAGCTAGAATTATAGGCATAAGCCACCAAATGGCACTAAGTCCAAAAATTTGCTTAAAAAAATCCAAACAACCATTTTCTAAATAGACATTCTCTGCAGCACACTTCAGTCTGTGGGAGTCTAGGTTGCAGCTGAGAAAAAAAATTCTTATACTAAAGTGATGAAGGCTCACAGTTCTGTTCCATGGTAGTCTATTATACTTTGTTTTGAAGTATTATAATAAAACCTAAGCTTTACATCATACCAGGAATGCTATGTCCCCCATTCATCTTGAGGTGGTCCCAGAAAAGGATTCTCAGAATTAAGTCAAAAGAACCAGTGATCAAATTCTCCAAGACCATGAAAATCAATTTTCTTAGCTTTTACATCTTCTTTGCCTGTTGAAAGAGTTGGACATCCTACTCTTTATAATTTACTCTGGCATTTCCTTCAGTTAAGTTGTGACTGCCTTTCCCAGTAATCCTTTGCATATTGGATAAGGTATTTCAATAACTGGAGGTATAAAAAGCTCCTGTGTTGCAAAATACTTGAAAATGACTTCTCAATTAGTGTGTCAGTTGTGGGGCTTGAACACTGGGCCTGGGCGCCACCCCTGAACTTTTCAGCTCAAGGTGAGCACTCTACCACTTGAGCCACAGCACCACTTCTGGTTTTCTGTTGATTAATTGGAGATAAGAATCTCACTGACTTCCCTGCCCAGGCTGGCTTTGAACTACCATCCTCCTGAGTAGCTATGATTATAGACATGAACCACTGGTGCCCAGCTTCTATCAGTATTTTTACTACTACTTTCAGGAAGTATTTCTTTCTGTACTAAATTCCAATACTGTTTGCTACAAAAAGAGCACATTGGATATGAACTTGAATTTTTAATAAGGTATTCTATTTCCCTAGGAAAAAACTTGTTCCTTTGAGTAAGAAGGTGGAACGAAGGGAAAAAAGAAGAGAGGTAACTTAGATCTGATATTTTCATAGCTTGTATGTTTTCATAGGGAAAGGGTTGTGTGTAGGTAGGGTGCATGAGGAAGTCAATAAGCATCATGAGTCTGTGATAATCAGTGAAGCTACTACTTTCAAAAACACAGCTTCTCTGGGGAATACATCAAAACTTTCTACAACTTTTCTTATAAAATTGATGCAAAATTTTAGACTCGGTGGATCAAAGTTAGATTTTTTAAATATGTTACAGGAAGAAATTTCTTATATTACTTTTATGATACCTTAGAAGTAGTTGCACAAAGGGGTTTATGAGCTTATTTTTATGCCACATCGAATATAATTTTAGAAAATATAGATGGTTGACATCTCTTTCATTTTAGTGGCTTTTACAAGTTGGCTCACTTTATATTTTAAATGTATGCAGACCTATATGTTTTAGTATCACGAAGTTTGTTAGAAACTTAGAATGCTATTTCTAAAATTATGAGGTCTTTCTTTGTCCCAAAGGAAGGGGTAACATTGGTAAAGAAGTATTGTACTCATAACCTGACTTACAAAATTGTAAACCCTTTGTACAACTCCTTAAAAATAACAAAAAAAGCTGGGCGCTGGTGGCTCACGCCTGTAATCCTAGCTACTCAGGAGGCTGAGATCTGAGGATCGCGGTTCAAAGCCAGCCCAGGCAGGAGAGACCGTGAGACTCCTATCTCCAATAAACCACCAGAAAACCGGAAGTGGCGCTGTATCTCAAGTGGTAGAGCGCTCGCCTTGAGCTGAAGAGCTGAGGGACAGCGCCCAGGCCCAGAGTTCAAGCCCCACGACCGACAAAAAAAAAAATAACAAAAAAGCTGGGTGGCTCATGCCTGTGATCCTACTCAGGAAGCTGACATCTGAGGATCACAGTTTGAAGCTAGCCAGGGTAGGCAAGTCCATGAGACTACAATTCACCACCAAAAAAAGCTGGTAGGTGACGCTGTTGTTTAAGTGGTAGAGCCTTGATCATAAAAACTCAGGGCTGGGGCTGGGAAGGTGGCTCAGTGGTAGAGCGCTTCTTGCATCCATGAGGCTCTGGGTTCAATTCCTCAGCACCACATAAGCAAAAAGAAAAAAGCCGGAAGTGGCGCTGTGGCTCAAGTGGTAGAGTGCTAGCCTTGAGCTGAAGAGCTGAGGGACAGAGCCCAGGCCCCACAACCGGACCCAAAAAAAAACCCAAAAAACCCAGGCTAGCACAGGCTCTTGAGTTCAAGCCCCAAGACAGGCACAGAAAATAAACAATTTCTAATTCTGCAGTCTGAAAAAAATGAGTACTAATGAAGTAAATTAGTGTTCTTTCTCTTATAGGAAAAAGCATTAATTGCTGCTCAGCTGGACAATGCCATTGAGAAGGAATTGCTAGAGAGACTGAAACAAGATACGGTAAGGAAACATCTTTGGGGCATACATTGTAAGTGGTAATATCATACTACCAAATAAAGTGCTAGAAAGATGGCCTACTCTGATTTTTGTCCTTGAAATTTAATTTTTATCCTTCCTCCTTTTTGTTAATTTATGTAAGCACATAGAATGCTTCGCTAGCCCTTGATAATCTACTGCCAAAGACTTTGTATTTCCAATTCCCATTCTCACACTCTTCCAGATACTAGAGTCTAAAACATAGTCAAGGGCTGGGAGGGTGGTCTAGTGGTAGAGTGCTTGCCGTGGATGCATTAGGCCCTGGGTTCGATTCCTCAGCACCACATAAGAAGAAAAAGCCAGAAGTGGCGCTGTGGCTCAGGTGGTAGAGTGCTAGCCTTGAGCTGAAGAACTGAGGGCCAGTGCCCAGGCCCAGAGTTCAGGCCCCATGACTGACTAAATAAATAAATAAAACAGTCAAATTTTAAGCTGAGTTTTACATGAGTTTAAACATCTTTTTTAAGGTTAACATTTACAGACAGCAAAATGAAATTTTTTGTTTCCCCTTTCAGCAAGATTACATTTTTCCTATTGCAAGGGTCTCATAAACTACTAAGTTTAAGTGACCTGCTTTCATCCTTCATGGAAGCTACTGCCTATTTGATGTCAACCATTGATTATTTAAATGTCAAAACTGGGCTATATTTGGGCACCTGTAGCTCATGCCTATAATCCTAACTTCTCAGGAGGCTGAGAGATCTGAGAGTCAGGGTTCAAAGCCAGCCTAGGCAGAAAAGTCCCCGTGAGACTCTTACCTCCAATACACCACTCAAAAACTGGAGTGGCACTGTGGCTCAAGTGGTAGAGTGCTAGCTTTCAGCACAAAGAAGCAACAAAAAAACTGGGCTATACTGCTGGTTCGGGATTTAAAAATAACAGAAATTAACCTCATCAAAGTTAAATATCTTCATTTACTCCCTCAGGATAAAAGAATATGCTTGCAGGACAGTAGAACTTCAAGTATAATAGCCAAATGTAGTTCAAGGCAGTCTGTTTGTTTTCTAGTATGGCGACATCTACAACTTCCCTATTCATGCCTTCGACAAGGCTCTGGAACAGCAGGAGGCAGAGAGTGACTCTTCAGATGTTGAGGAGAAAGATGATGAGGAAGAGGAGGAAGAAGTAAGTTTTATTTGTCAATTAGTAATCTTCAGAATTAGATGTTTATTTATAATACATATATACAATCTCTCTAGCATCCAAGCCAGAAATATTAAACAATTTACTCTTTTTGGAGATGTACCTCTTAATGATTTAAACCGGGCACGAGTTATCTAATGTTCATATTAAATTTAGAAATGAGTAAATTTTAGTTGCTTTAATGTAAAGACTGACTTTTATGTCTTATTTTAGGATATGGGAAAAAAGGAATTTGTAGAAGATGATGAGGTAGATGAGAGTGACCTAAGTGATTTTGAGGTGAGCTGTGGGTAAAAAAAAAAAAAAGAATTGTTTTGGGGGCTGGGAATGTGGCTTCCTGGTAGAGTGCTTGTCTAGAATGCATGAAGCTCTAGGTTCAGTTCCTCAGTACTATGTAAATGGAAAAAACTGAAAGTGGTGCTGTGGCTCAAGTGTAGAGTGCTAGCCTCGAACTAAGAAGCAAAAAAGAAAAAATTTAAAAAGAAATTGTCCTTTGGCCTGAAACAGACGGGGGGCGGGGGGTAGTTCTAAACATACACACATGAAAATGAATTCTCTAATTTGCTCTATTCTTGAGAGAACAGTAAAGGGGGTTTGGAAAAATGTAGCCCTTCCCTATCTGACTTTTTCTCTCTACTTACTAGGATATGGATAAACTGGACACCAGTGGTGATGAAGACAAGGATGATGAATCCTCCAGTGAAGAGGAGGAAGAAAAGGTCATCAGTGTGAAACACAAAGGCAAAGAGCCCTTGAAAGGACCATTGCAGAGAAAACGAGCCTATGTGGAAATAGAGTATGAACAGGAGACAGAGCCCATGGCTAAGGCCAAAGCCACGTGATTGCCTTCCATTACAATCGGGAATGAACATTATGAACTTCCTTAAAACTTCTTCTAAAGCATATCTCCCCCTCCAGTTTTTGCTCTTTGAGTTGTAGTTCACACAGTATTTGTGTTTTAATTTTATGTCACTTTAGAGGAGCAAGAAGTCTGGAGTGAGTGGAGAAAGCCTTAAGTTGTAAAAAATATATATATATATATATATTTTTTTAATAACATGTTTTTAGTAAAAGCTTGAAGCCAAGAAGCTTAACAGATCTGTTCCTGAAGCTGGAATGAAATTGTGGGTGCAAATATTTCTAGACTTTGAGAAGCAAATTCCTTGATAATCTTTTTCTATTCTCCTCCCCTACTGTATATAGAAATGGCAACTTCCCAGTTTTTATTTTGTTTTCTTTCCCTACTTCCATGAGGGTAAAAGGAAAAGAATAAAGGAAAACGAAACTCCAACTTCCAGCGTTTAGTATAAAAATACCTTGTGCTCTAACTCCATTCATACAATCCTTTCTTCTTGGGAAGTAATCTTAAATTCCAAGGACAGAAGCATCCACAGGATTCTGCTGCACTTTTCTAATACAGTTCACCACTGTGCTGTCTGTGCAGGTTAAGACAACTCTGGCTAGAAGACCCTGAAACATTAAATAAAGCAAAACAGTTTTTTTGGTTGTTGTTGTTTTTTTTCTTTTGGGGGGTGGGGTAGTATGAAAAAACTGGGCTCAGGTTGTCCATGAGCCTTTTTGCTTAAGACTAGTACTCTACCACTTGAGCCAAAACTCCACTTCAGGCTTTTTTTGGGGGTGGGGAGAGGGGTCAGCCATGGGGTTTGAACTTAGGGCCTGGGTTTGTCCCTGAGCTTTTTCACTCAAAACTACCACGCTACCACTTTGAGCCACAGTGCCACTTCTAGTTTTCTGGTAGTTAATTAGAGATAAGAATCTCAAGGATGGGCTGGGAAGGTGGCTCAGTGGTAGAGCGCTTGCCTTGCATGCCTGAGGCCCAGGGTTCGATTCCTCAGCACCACATAAGCAAAAAGAAAAAAGCCGGAAGTGGCGCTGTGGCTCAAGTGGTGGAGCGCTAGCCTTGAGCTGAAGAGCTGAGGGACAGCGCCCAGGCCCAGAGTTCAGGCCCCACGACTGGACCCAAAAAAAAAAATCTCAAGGACTTTCCCGGGCTGGCTTTGGACCAGATCCTGAGATCTCAGCCTCCTGAGTAGCCAGGATTCTAGGAATGAACCACTTACAACTTTTTGTTGATTAACTGGATGTAAGAGTTTCATGGACTTCCATGCCAGGGCTGGCTTTGGAACTGTGGTCTTCAGATCTTAGCCTCTTGCATAGCTAGGATTATAGATGTGAGCCACGGACACTCCACTCTTTTTTCCCTTTACTCTTATTATTATACTCAAAAGGCAAGAATGAGTTTACTGGTCAGAACAGATGCTTGCAAGTGTCCTGCTGGCCTGTGAAACAGCTGCTTATTTCCAGCCATAGCAAATAGCATTAGAACTGAGCCTCAATAACTCCTCATGATGAAAGAGCTAAAATGAAATGGTCTGAATAATAATAAAAAAAGCATTCTATTACTAAGTATTTTTAGGAGTTGAGTTTTGTGTCATGCTTCCTTCATTCTGCAAAAAGTTTCTAAATGGGGCAAGAAATGAGACATTACTAAATACATATAAGCATGCCCACAGGACTGGGAATGTGGCTTAGTGGTAGAGTGCCTTGCATGCATGAAGCCCTGGGTTCAATTCCTCAGTACCATGTAAACAGAAAAAGCTGGCAGTGGCACTGTGGCTCAAGTGGTAGAGTGCTAGCTTTGAGCAAAAGAAGCTCAGGGACATTGTCTAGCCCCTGAGGACTGTGGGGAGTGGGGAGGGGGGGCATGCCCATAGTCATGGCTTGTGTTGAGTTTTTTGTTGTTTTTTTTTTTTTTAAGCTCAAAAGACTGTAAGAGAAATCTTACTTGCTTGCAAGGCTTTCACCCATTTTTTTTTTTCATCCTTAATCCCTAACATCTGAATCCTTTTACTCTAAATGATCTGAAAAGGAGGGGTTGGGGCATAGTTCAATGTCAATTTGTACATTTAATGTCAATGTCATTATGTGCCAGGTCCTGGGTTCAACCACTAGTTGATCAAATTCTGCAAGACTAGAGGACCTAGAGTTAGATGGGGACCTAAACACTCCCACACTTGACTGGGCACATAAACACTATAACCATAATCAAAAGCATTACCTAAGGACAAAGAGATCCACAGAACTGAGTTGCAGACTGCCTTACCTTTACCTGTCCTTGGGAGCAGTGGTCCAGAAGGATTAGGCAGTCTGTAGCCTCTTGTAGTAAGGCTTTCTTAACAGGTTCAGGTGTAAGGTTTGTATCCCTTGCTACATCACACACCAATTTCAAAAGAGCCTTCAATAGGATCACAAGTCTGCAGGAAATTCTGGAATCAGGAAGAAAAATGGTCATATTCTAAATTGGCATATTAGATTAAAAGATGTAAGACTACCTAGCTGGTGATCTTTAAACTCTGAGTTCATACAAGAAGGCCTTTTGCTGACTCAGTAATATAGGTTCTTTCTAATAGTATTTGTGCAGTGAAATGCTATACGTGTGTGCAAATGAAAAATTGAAATACATCACGTGTCCTGAGTCTATGTACTGAACACACGTATCTGGGCAAATTCTAAACAGGAAGTTGACTGAGGTGTATCCCTTTAGCACACCTGTGTGTTTGGGTGCTATATACCTAGGCCAAGTATACTGCATAAGAAGCTTTAGTGTTTCCAGTATCTTCAGCCTAGCCTCCTCTTCTGGTCCATCATAAACCTCCAGATAACCAGTAATGACTCGCTCCAGTCTCTTCATGTGCCGGACAGTTAGGATCCCCAGTCTGAAAATGGAAAAAAAAAATGTGATGATGACCAAAGAGTTGGACTGAGCTGGGTGCCGGCGGCGCGGCGTATGCCTATAATTCTAGTTGCTCAGGAAGCTGAGCTCTGAGGATCACTCTGGGTAGGAAAGTACATGAGACTACTGTTAACCAACAAAAAAAATGTAGAAGTAAGCTGGGTGCTGATGGCTCACACCTGTAATCTTTGCTATTCAGAAGGCTGAGATCTGAAGGTACTGGTTTGAAGCTAGCCCAGGCAGGAAAGTTGCCATGAGACTCAACCTCCAATTTACCACTAGAAAACCGGAAGTGGCTCAAAGTGATAGAGTACTAGCCTTGAGTGAAAAAGTTTAGGGATTGCCCACAACCGACAAAAAAAAAAAAAAAAAAGCCAGAAGTAGAGCTGTGGTTCAAGTAACATAGAGCCAACCTTGAGCAAAAAAGTTCGAGGACAGTACCCTGTCCCTCAGTTCAAGCCCAAGGACTGTCACACAAGAGAGGGACTGAGGATAAACGGCCTGACAAGCAGTCGAGGTACTTGCCTCTTGACAAAAGCTGGTAGATGTCTGGCATAGGTTCTGCGTAAGAGAAGGCGGTGCTCTGGCTCCATGTGGGTCAGGATCAGCTGCAGTACCTCATCACAGTGTGTGGTGGGTCGAACTGCCTCTCCCTTCCAGTGCAGGGATTTCTCCAGAATAGGAAATAAATCCAACAGACACAGAAGCACAGCCTAGGGGTAAGGGAAAAAACATAGTTCACCAGTTGCATTCACAACACTCCTGAGTTTTAAGATCTTCATTGACTGTGGGGATGTAAAAAAACACCAATAATACATTAAGTACATGATACTTAAAACTTTCAAACTGCTCACTCTCCTCCTCCCTCCCCCCCAGTGGAGTTTGAACTAAGGGCCCTGCTCTTGCTAGGCAGGTGTTTAACTACTCAGGCCATGCCTCCAGGCTCTTCTTACTGTAGTTATTTTTTGAGACAGCGTCTCAAGTTTTTGCCTGGGCTAGCCAATACTATTGGTGCCACCCAGAGAAGGGATGACAAGTGTGAGCCACCATGCCAAGCTGATTGATTTACATGGATTTTTGCTAAGTTGTTCCTAGGCTGGAAAAAATTCCCAATTTCTGCTTCTTAAGCGGCTGTGATTACAGGTGTGACCCATCATGCCAAACTCTTCATAGCATCTCCATCTGACAGTCCCAAATTTAATACTTCCTCTTCAAGACTTACATACTAATTTTTAGAATAAGAGTGATTGGACTTTAACCTAGATTCTCAGTAATCTAAGTCTATTATCACAAAATTGTTGGTGATATATGACATTTATATACCAAATTCAATGAAACTATTCCTACAAAGAATGTAATTCTAAGCCATGTGCTGGTGGCTCACACTTGTGGTCCTAGCTATTTAGGAGGCTGAGATCTGAAGATCATTTTTCAAAGCTCTGGTATAAGATCTCATGAAGCCAGGTACTGGTGGCTCATACCTGTAATGCTAGCTACTCAGGAGGCTGAGATCTAAGGATCACCGTTCAAATAAATCCAGCCCGGTCAGGAAAGTCCATGTGACTCTTATCTCCAATTAATCACCAGAAAACCAGAAATGGCACTGTGGCTCAAGTGGTAGAGTGCTCACCTTGAGCTGAAGAGCTCAGGGACAGCGCTCAGGCCCAGAGTTCAGTCCCCACCACCAGACCCCCCCCCCCCCAAAAAAAAAGAAGTCAAACAGGCCCTGAGTTCAAGCCTCAAGACCAATACATACATACACACACACACTCTCTCTCTCTCTCTCCTTAAGTTTAAATTTTAAAAATGTAAGATTAAATCCTCTTCATGTCTTCATTCTAACTGCCGATAAATGGGGCAGAGTCCCCATTTTCTCAAGTCAGCTGACAGAATTTATCATTTGGTTGGAAGCACTGGAGTGAATTTGAGTGAGAAGACCTTAATTCTAATCTCAAATTTGTTTTTTTTTGTTGTTGTTGTTGTTGTTGGTCGTGGGGCCTGAATTCTGGGCCTGGGCACTGTCCCTCAGCTCGTCAGCTTAAGGCTAGCGCTCTACCACTTGTGAGCCACAGTGCCACTTCCGATTTTCTGGTGGTTTATTGGAGATAAGAGACTTAGAGACTTTCCTGTCTGGCTGGCTTTGAACCATGATCCTCAGATCTCAGACTCCTGCGTAGCTAGGATTACAGGCGTGAGCCACCAGTGCCCAGTTTGTTATATCATTGATAGCCTAGTTTATCACCTCTATTTTTCTGATGAAGAAACTAAAAGATCAGCACTCACTTATTCAAATCAGGCTTGAGAAGTCCAATGACCACCAGAAATCTCCCCCTCTCCTCTTCATTTTCTCCACATAGGAATCCTGCCACTGAATTGCATTCAGTAGCTTGAAGCAGTGAAGTGAGCACCTTTCCGGCCACCTCCTGAGATCTTGGAGTGGTCCACAATTGCTTCAAGCTATGAGAGATGGCAAAAATATAGATGGGTCCTGCTAAGTGACTTACATCTGCCTTCCAAGTGGAACAGAGTGGAGACTTCTTGGCGGCCTCAATTTTCCCCAACAGTTTAAGATACAGTAAGCCAACTTCTTCAGCTTTAGCAGCCACTTCGGAGTGACCACCACGTGCACCTGCCTCCTCCTTGGATGGGGCTGCATACTTCTCCAGCGCTTTGGTCACCTGTGCCAGGATCTCCAGCATTTTGCGAACCCATTCGCCGCTCCCCTCAAACAATCGGTCCCATTCTGTGGCATCTATAAGAGCCCCGAGGTCCTTAAGAGCATCTCCTCGTGCACTGGCCCGCCGTGGCTCCCGGTCGGAAAGGCGGTGCACCATCTTAGAGAAGGCCTGCCCGAGGTCGCCGAGACACCCATCTCCTTCCCCGGCGGTCTCCACGGCGCTGTCAGGCTCCATTTCTCACGCTGCATCAAGAAAGGGCTGGTCCCCCCCCACACACACACCCACCGTGAGGACGAGGAAGAGGACCAGAGCCTCGCTGAAGAGGGAAGGACAGATCTCTCACAAGCTGCAATCCTCCCCACGCGGAAAACCCAAACCAAGTAACACGACGGCGAGGCGTCTCGCTGCTGGCGGGTCGAGTGGGGCCGGGATGACGCCGTTGATGTCGGACAAACGGTGATGTCAGATGCAACGGCGGAGTGGAGAAACTTCTCCTCCTGAAGACGCAAAGAAAGGAAAAGTTAACCCGAGAGATGAGCTGCTGCGGGTGCCGCGCCGCGTTCTCAGCCACTCCGGAGACGGCGATCCGCGGGATGCGGCTGGAAGCCAGCCCGAGCAGGAAAGTCCGTCAGACCGTCGTCTCCAAGGAAGCACCAAAAACTGGAACTGGAGCTGTGGCTACAGTGGTGGAACGCGAGCCCAGGCCGTGGGTTCAGGCCCAGGAGAGATACAGACACACAGACAGACAGACAGACACACACACACACACACACACGCGAGCCCAGGCCGTGGGTTCAAGCCCAGGAGACACAGAGACACAGACAGACAGACAGACACACACACAAACGCGAGCTCAGGCCGTGGGTTCAAGCCCAGGAGACACAGAGACACAGACAGACAGACAGACACACACACACGCGAGCCCAGGCCGTGGGTTCAGGCCCAGGAGAGACACAGACAGACAGACAGACAGACA